AGTTAGCTACTTCTTGTTCCTCTTCATCGGAATTTTCTTCATCGCTCCATGTAGCCACATGAGCCCTGTGCTTATTCTTTGATTGACCCTTTTTCTTCAATTGTGGGCAATCGTATTTGACATGCCCTGGCTTTTTGCATTCGTAGCAAATGATTGGGTCCTTCTCTTTCGATTTATTTTTGAGGCCTTCATTTCATTTGAATTTTCTTCCTCGATAAGGTCTCATCATTTTTCTGAACCGTTTGGCAAACAATGTCATTTCCTCGTCATTGTCATCGTCATTCGAATCACTCTCATCTTTTGTGGATTTGAGAGCAACTCCAATGTTTTTCTTCTTCTCTTTCTCTTTTGGTGTCTCGTCAATCTTGTCGAGGTCCACCTCATCTTCGAGCATCATTTCATGAGTGAGGAGTAACCCAGTTAGCTCTTCAAGAGTTAAGGACGTTAAGTCCTTAGACTCGATGATTGTCGTCTTCTTTGATTGCCACTATTTTGGGATGGAGTAGACTAACTTCCTCACAAGCTTTTCATTTGAAATGATCTCTCCATATTATTTAAGACCATTGAAAATCGTTGAAAATCTAGCCGTCATAGCTTTGATATCTTCATTTGGTTCCATCCTGAAATTTTCATAGCTATGCGTTAGAATACTAATTTTAGATTTCTTTACCTCATCGGTACCTTCATGAGTGACTTGAAGTTTGTCCCATATTTCTTTGGCGGTTGTACACGATGAAACTCTTCCGTATTCATCTGGTCCAAGAGCACAAAAAATGATATGGATGGCTTTGGAGTTGAGCTGAACATTCTTTCTCTCTTTCACTCCACAACCTTGGATGAATGAGAGGTTTGATGTATCCTTCTTCTACAGTATTCCATGCTCCCATGTCACTTGCTTGAATGAAGTACATCATTCTATTCTTCCAATAGGCATAGTTAGCTCCATTGAAGAAAGGAGGCTTGTTGACGGGCATCGAATCGAGACCGGAGTCGAAGTTTGAAGCGGAGGCCATTGATGACTTTGATTATTGATATAACTCTTCCCGAATCGACTCAAGAGGCGAATAAACCTTCAAATGTGTTAGGCTCTGATGCCAATTGTTGAGTTAATCGATTGACTGAATCGGCCAAGAGTGAATTGGTAATAAAAATTTTGGTGGAAGCTTTTGCAGAAAATTGAATGAAATTGCACAGCGATTTAAAGTGGTTCGACTTTATCAACCAAAGTCTACGTCCACTACCTTAGCTATCCACACTAAGGATTTTCCAACAAATTCACTAACTTGTTCTTTCTTTTGAGGCCAAAGAGATAACCTTACATCTCCCTCAAGAATATACCCCAATTCTTGAGAACACTCTTTTCTCAAAGAGAAATACAAATTTGCAAACTTACAAGAAAAACCTCACAAGGAAAATATGTTTGTACAATTCTAGAACAAATAAAGAACACTCAAGAATAAATACAATTGAGCACAATAAGTGTTCTTGAAAACAAAATGAATATTGAATGAAAAATAGGCTTGAAATGCTCAAACTTGAGGTTTGATGCTTTCTCTTTTATTCTCTCTTGATTTTAATTGCTTGATGTTTCTTGTTGTTGATCAATGGCTTCTAAGCTTGCTTAAATACACCTTGAATCACTTCTGAATGTTGAGGATGATTAGAGAAAATATTATAGCCGTTTTAGTGTGAAAACAATTAATAAAACAGTTTGGAGCGTGGGGGGAATCGGTACCCCCTATGGGGAATCGGTTCCCTAAATGTAAAATTCAAATATTTCGATCGTTTTACAAGGGGGAATTGGTACCCCCTGGGGGGAATCGGTTCCCTCCGAGCATACTGGAATTCTCAGAGCCAAACCATTCAAGGGGAATCGATACCCCCTTGGGGGGGAATCGGTTCCCTCTGAGCAATCTGGAATTTTTTGGCTTTGAAATGGTTCGAAATACTTTGTAAATTATTTTGAATTGTTTTAAGATTAAAACTTAATTTTACACTTTGAGTAAGGATTAAAAATGATCTTTGAAAGATTTGAGTAATGTTTGATATTCGAATAATTCTATCGAATATACTTAGAAAATCATTTGGAAAATCTTAAAATTCATTTAACTTAATTTGTTATATCGAAATATCAAAATGTTTTCAACACCCTTTCCCATAGATGTCGGCCGACTGGCGTTGATTGCCATCGGTGTTTGCATCGGTGTCGATTCCAGATCAAACCCCCGTTAACCTTTTGTCGTAATATGCCACCGTTTTTCATGGAGAAGCATTCAAAGGTTTGTCGGATACCATCACCATTTTTCTTTGATTCAAACCGATTTCGACGTCCATAAGCTACATCGCCGCCACCATTCGAAACACCATGCAATTTCTATCAAAACTCAACCGTTTGATGACGACGACAATGGTCGGCGACCGTTTGGCTTAGTTAATTGAATTTGGGAATTAGGGATTTGGATTTTGGGTTTTAGATTTAGGGATTTTTGTCATGGTAAGGATGACAATTGACTAATACGTGAGTGGCCACGGGTGGGTGACCGTTCAGCGATGACTATGGTGGTCGTAGATGGCCGCCGACGATCGATAATGGGGTTAAAATGAGAGATTTTAGTTTTTTAGGGTTTTTATAATTTCAATAAAAATTGGTTTTTATAAAGATTTTTTTTAATTTAAAATAATATTTTATTATTAAAAAATTAAAAAAAAATAAACAATGGGCCCCTCAAAGTATAAATGAGAAAATGTTAGACACCTGTTTTAAAAAAAATTCTTTAGACACTAAAACGTTTTTCAAGGCTTAATTTCAGCACTTATTTTTTATATTAAGCCTTTTGGGATTTAATCATAATTAAAAATTTAAGAACAACATTAGATGTTGTAGATACTTATAATTACACATAATGTATGTATGTATATATATATATATAAAGACGGAAAGATGGTTGCTTTTTGATGTTTTTATATTTTGTTTGATTTATTAGTTAAGTTGTGATTATAAAATACAAAATAGGGTAAAGTATATTGATGGGTCACTGAACGTTCAGGTATAATCACTTTAACTACAAAATTTTAAAAATTTACATTATCATCATTAAACTTTTCATTTGCTCTCTTTACTATTATTGTTGTAATGTTGTTACTTGTTAAAAAAGGACTGACATGATATATTGAAAATTTCTTCTTAAAAAACTCTTAAAAACTATAATATTTGACACGAACAAGCTTACCTCAATGATTAAAGGAATAATTGTTATTCTTGGATAACATAGGTTTGAGCACTAATGACTATGGGGTATTTGAGCATTTAACTTGTAGTGCAATTAACTCCTGTTTTGCCTTCCATAATTCGTGCGTTAGGCAAAGTTTTGACTTTGATGCATAGTTTGGTAGGCCATTATGATGTGTTGTTAGCTCCATGGGTAAAATGCAATGAGAAATGCATGACATTATGCCTAACCAATCACGGAATATGATAATCATGTCTAGAATTAATAACCCTTCTCTAATCTGCATATTTAGGGTCATAAAGAGCTAAACAATGTCATTACCATGTAAACATTGACTTAGTGATGTATTTTATTTCCTTAAAGTTACTTTTAATTTTAATATATCTTATAAATTACAAGATGCATGGGATACTTATAGTTTGAATTCATTGAATGACATCAGTAATGAAAGAATGTTGTTCTCTCTAGAGATCTCGAGTTTAAACAACTGCGTTTGCAAAGTATATGTACGTTATCAAAATGTTAAGAAAGTTCTTAACAAATACTACCCATTGTATTCACCTGTACTATTAAAAAAACAACAGATAGTTCTACAATGTTACCAATTTCTTAATTTTTAGGGTCGATTATGCGTTTAATACTTAAACTATTAGTTTTGATCCGTTTTTGTACCTAAAATTTTAATTTTTTCAAAACTATACCTAAAGTTTAGTTTTTATTTCATTTTAGTACCCTTTTTCAAAATTTAACTTTAAGTTTTGAAAAAATTAAAAGTTTAGGCACTGAAACAGACCAAAACTGATAGTTTAGATACTAAATGCATTAAGTTTTTAACGGTAAAGTGTTAAAATGAAACAAATACTAAATGTTAGGTATGATTTTGAAAAAAATTAAAATTTAGGTACTAAAACGGACTAAAACTAATAGCTTTCGTACTAAATGAGTAGTTTACCCTAGTTTTCTTTTAATATTTTTGTGTTGTCTCCTTCTTTGTCTTTGTTCTTTTATTTAGCCGTCGGCGACACTTATCTTATTGTTGGTTGTCGATTGTCGGTTACTATTAGTCATCTTATTTTTTATTATGTTTTTTTTTTGCTCGAGTCTTTTTAATTTGAATAAGATTCTCTATCCTTGTGACATGATTTTTCTCTGCTCTTGTTGCACAATCCCCATGGTTGTTGTTACGTTTTTTGTATACCTTGGCGGTTGTTTTGGTTCTTGCACAAAAACCATCAAGACATTTATTTTCTGATTGGTTAGTCGGTTGTCATGTATTGTATAGTCACATCCCCTCTTTTGGTAAAAGATTGTTGCCTGATGTAATTAGATTGTGTAACAAAACAACCTGCCAGATTATTTGATTTGTTCTCCACTCCTTTATCACTTCGTCAAGCGTCTCATTCAACATAGATAAGGAGTTTTTATGAAAGTTATTGAGTTTTGATGTTGGTCGTCATGCTCATTGGAAGGCTTTAATTTTCTTAGTATCTTTAATTTTCTTAGTATCTTTAATTTTAATTTTTACTTTTGTCAGAATATTTTAGTGAATATTATCTCCAAATTTCTCTCTATATTTTGATACATTATAATTTTATAAATATTAAGTTTTATGCCCAAGTTTCATTGGACTAGCATATTAATATGGGCTTATTTGAACTGCCACGATCTTTTACGGCCCAAATATTAAGAAGCCTCAAAATCAGAGTCCCATAAACGAAGAAAATGGCCAGAAGATGCCCAGATCCCAAAATCACGAATCCCTCTTCTCAGCTTTAGGGCTTATCACAGATATCTAAATAGCATTTCGTCGCCCCTCAATCAGTTCGAGTGTAAGTACCGTTCTTCCTTACTGATTATCTCGGATCAGTGGCAGAGGTTAGAAACCACGTGAAAAATTCATGATTCGCTTTCTTACCTGAATCAACGCTAAAGGATTATTCGTTGAATGCTTCCAGGTTACAGTTTATTCCCTTTACTTTCTACATGTCTAAAGCTCAAGATCCATTTTATATCGTCAAAGAAGAGATTCAAGAATCCGTACGTTGGGTCTTTTTTTTTTGTCTTTTGCGGGATTTTCCATTAGTTGATGTTTTGGGTGTTTTGGTTTAGATCGATAAATTGCAATCAAGTTTTCACCAATGGGAGAGGATTCGTCCTGAAGACGAAGAACGAGTACATCTCACGAAAGAGCTACTTGCTAATTGTGAGAGCATTGAGTGGAAGGTATTTGATTTTTTTTCTCACTATGTTTGGATTGGATTCTTGGAATGGGAAAAAGACTATGTTGGAATGATGTGTTTTACATTGTGTTTATCTATTGATCGAACAAATTTTTATCCAATTTGGCATTGCTAAAATGATTACGTTCTTGATAGGAAGATAGATGAATTGGACAAGGCGATTTCTGTGGCAGCTAGGGATCCATCATGGTATGGCATTGATGAAGTGGAACTTGAAAGCCGAAGGAGATGGACCAGCAATGCCCGAACTCAGGTACCATCTTTATTGTTTCTAAATATTATCTTAGAGTGAATATTTCAGTACAGTGCCATTCTCTCCTGTTATTATAACTTGATGGAATTCTCGGTCCGTGAAAATTTTGGGCTTAACACATGATGAATATTTCATTAATGTTTGATCAGGTGGGAACTGTGAAGAAAACTGTAGTAGCCAGAAAAGAAACTGGTAATACTGCAAGTGCGATGCACCGTGAATTGATGAGACTGCCGATTTCTCATCAGGCAGATAGATCCAACCTGTATAGCACAGAAGATAATGACGACTTTATAGCATCGGAATTAGATAGACAAATGCTTCTCATCAGGCTTTCAAACAGCGGCCCGCAAACGCTGTGGCCGCTATTTTGCGGAAATACCAACATCCGAAACTGATTTTGATGATTTTAATGGTGAGTTGCGAATTTACGTCGATAGTGGGGGTCGTTCTGCGGTGCGGCGCCTAAAAAACGGCTAATATACGGCGTGACCGGTTAAACAAGTGACCGGTTAAAATTTAGACCGGTTATGTTATATTATTTAACCGGAAATATTATAAAGTACAATAACATACTAGGTAGCGCTTATATAATGTAATAGGTAGCGCTTATATTTACCTATTTTATAAGTAAACCAGTATATTTATACCGATAGCATTGCAAATTTACCTATTACATTATATTATATTGAAAGTGTCCATACTTTTTATAAAAAGGATCGATACTTTAACAGTGTTTCATGTTTTCCACCTACAATATTGATTTAATAATTTCATTTGCACAAAAAATTATTTGATTGTTTTGATATTTTATAAAATATTATTTAGAATTTTTAATTTAATAATAATATATACCGTAACGTAAAAAATAAATCATTAGACGCCTATAATTACTAAATTAATATCTTAAAACTCACTCAAAAGATAACCTTAAATTAATGTTTTCCACAGTGAAAAAAGTATGGACACTTTTATAAAAATGATAGACACTTTACAATATAACCTTAAATTAATGTTTTCCTTGACTGTGTGATGTAAGCAGCATCACTCATTGAATTCCATTTGGACCTCACATCTTTTTTCACCTAATATTAAACATAAACGTTTCTTAATCAATACATTAACACTAAATACTAATACTACTCAATGTCAATTTCATTTTACATACCGAACCGCTCTGTGTGCCATCTCCCTTCATCCTTTTGCATTCGGCCATACTGTTAACATTTAAAATTTGTAATCAATTTAAAGTTTATCGATACTTTAATCCAATTACCATTTCAACAATAATAACAAAAAGACATTGATACTTACTAGAAGTACATATACCACCCTTTGGTTGCTTTCGAGTCTCGGCCTCAATTTCAAAGTCATCTGCTCCACCAACAATTTTCCAACCCATTGACTCCATTTTTCCTTCATATATCAGTTTACGCAAATCAAATTATTTTGTTACATACACTTTTCAATATACAAATATAGATAACTACTCTTGTGGTAAAACGGTTTTCTTCAAAAGAATTTGAATGGCCACACCAAAATGTGTCGGCACATTTATACAACCTATAATATCATTTTCTACCTATAATATTTAATAAAAGTATCGACATTTATCGTTTTCCTTGAATATCTATTTCTACCTGCAATCGGTCCCAAATGCTTCCTTACTCCAAAACCCCAAACACATAAAAAACCCTATCGCGATTACTGTAATAATAAAAAATTAGGGTTTCGACAACATACTTTTCGATTCGACTGCAGCAACAAACAAACAAACTTCGCTTTAGAAACGCCTTCTGAAATGCAGCAATTACTCTTCGATTTCCAAAACTCGTCCGTTCTATCTATTTTCAGAGGATATTTAGCTTATATTTTCATCGGATATGTTATTTATATTTAATCGATACAAATACAAAAGTGTCGATACTTTTATGTCAGGTGTCGATACTTTCGAAAGGATAATTACCTATTTCTTTGAAAGTGTCGATAATTTATTACACGTACTTACGAAAGTATCGACACTTTCAATATATCCGGTATCATTTTACCGTTTTTTATCATTTTGATACCGGTTTTTATCATATTTTTACCTGTTATATCGTTGTGGATCGATATTTTTTTAAAGTATCGACACATTATAGGCGCTATAACTGCTTCTCTTTTAATTCACAAAGTGTCGATCCTTATATAACGTATCGACACTTTTAATTTTACCGGTTTTATCATTTTGTTACCGGTTTTTATCATATTTTACCTGGTATATCGTTTTGGATCGATATATTTCTTAAAAGTATCGACACTTTTTAGGATTTAAAACTGCTTTTAAAGTTATGTAATTTATGTTTCAATTTATTTAATAGTGTTTTATGTTTTCCACCTACAATATTAATAATAATTTAATTTACACAAAATTTTATTTGATTGTTTTGATATTTTATAAAATATTATTTAGAATTTAAATTTAACAATTTAACCAAATATAATAATAAATGTTTTCAACAGTGAAATAAGTATGGACACTTTTATAAAAATGATATACTTTTTTGAAAGTTATGTAATTTATGTTTCAATTTTTTTAATAGTGTTTCATGTTTTCCACCTACAATATTAATTTAATAATTTCATTTACACAAAAAATTATTTGATTGTTTTGATATTTTATAAAATATTATTTAGATTTTAAATTTAACAATATTAACTAAAGATAATAATAAATATATTTTCACAGTGAAATAAGTATGGACACTTTTATAAAAAGGATAGATAATTTACAATATAACAGGTAAAAATATGACAAAACCAGATTCATTATGACAAAACCGGTAAAATTTACTTGATATGTTAAAAGTATGGACACTTTTATAAAAAGGATAGATACTTACCGATAACCAAAGTTTACCGGTTACCAAATTTTTTAATAGTTTTTCATATTTTCTACCTAAAACATTATTAGTTGTCAACATAATAGGTACCGCTAAACCGAATTTATTAAATACATTTTAATGTATCCGGTAATGCTGTATATTAGCCGTATATTAACCCGCCTTTCCTGAGACATTCCCCGATAGTGGTCCGTCATGTCCGTACTGTAAAAGAAAATGCTCAAGAAACAGATAGGGGAGTAAATATTCTTACTGAACAAAGGAGAAGGCAAATTGATACACTTGGACTTGGAGAGAATCAAGAGCTTCTAGATTTTTCTATATGTTTGGGTTTTCAATTCAAAAAATATATATATACATGTTTGAGCCATTCCACTTACACCCCCATTTCTCAATTTTTCTTTAAAAAAGTTTCAAAATATAGTTTTAAGGAATATATTAATTTTGTATCCCTCCTACAATTTAGTATTTATAATTTAATTCTTAACTTAAAATGTAAAATTTAAATTTTATTTAATTTACTCTTAATTTTAATAATTTAAATAATAATGTATTCATAATGTCATTATTAATTAATTATTTTATCTTATTGTTCGGTATTTAAAGTCTTTTATTTGATTAAATTATATTATATATGTTATTTTAGTTTAGAAAACATTCTAAAAATTTAGGGATGAGCAAAACTCGACTTGAAAAATAGATTTTTTTTAATTTAGAGTTATTCGAGTCAACTCGAATTATAAATTCAGTTTTCGAGTTCAAGTCGAGTTGAAATTTTGAATTTTCGAGTTACTCAAAAAATAAAAAATTTGACCCAATACTTTGACAATTTTATAATTTAGTCTCTGATTTCATTATTTCTTCAATTCATCCTTTATTTTAAGTTCATTTTTTACCAAATTTGAACCGCATGCTCTTAAACTATAGTAGAATACATGTGTACTTCCAATTCTTCTTTTTGATAACGAATTTTATATTTTTTAATTTTGTTATTTAATTTTTCATAATCTCCTTATTTCTTCAATTTGTCATTTATTTTAAGTCTATTTTTTATCAAAATTGAACCACACGCTCCTAAACCATAGTAGAATACATTTGTACTTTCAAATCCTCTTTTTGATAACATTTTTATATTTTTCAATTTAGTCCTTCAATTTTTCATAATCTCCTTATTCCTTCAATTTGTGATTTATTTTAAGTCATTTTTTTTACTAAATTTGAACCACATACTCATATACCACAATAGAATACCAATGTAACTTTAATTTTTATTTTTTAAATAAAGATACACTATCCTTTTTATTTAGTCCCTATATTTTGACTTTTACTCAATTTGGTCTTACTACAATTGTTTGTAAATTCTTTCTTCTCTTCAAATCTTTGACTCATTTATACTCTCATCAATATTTTACCCTCAAAATACTTTCTTTAAAATATAATATTATGAATATATTTCATAATTTTATATTGTATTTGATATATTAAATAATATTATAATATGAAAGAATAATATATATATATATATATATATTATGGTTAGATAAAGTCAAAAAAATTGGAATAAATCATTGCCATAATACTATAAATAATTATAAGAAAATTAGTACAGAAACCCGAATAACTCGACCTGACTCGAAAGAATTTTAAGTTAATTTCGAGTTGTAAAATAAGACTCGTCAACTCTAATAACTATAAATTTTTTGACTCGACTCAATCGAATGCTCACCCCTATAAAAACCATTAAAATTGACTCCTTATAATTATAATTACTATGTTTTAAGATAAGTTGTATAAAATTTTAAAAAAAATTACAACCGCACACACTCACAGTGACTGCGATGACATCTACTATGTTCGTAATTGTGACAAACGCGATCGTGAACGCTATTTAAATCCCTACTTTTCATAATGTAGAGTTTTCTTTGTTGCACTTGTTTCATCAACATGCTTCCTTGTCCGATTTTACTAGTGTCTTATTGTTTATCAATCGATGGTTGTAGACAGTAGGATGAGGAGTTGGATGAGCTTAGAGTGCTAGTGTCGAGAAAATGGGAGGTGTCAGGCTTACTATACATGAAGAACTTATTTCACAGGTCAGTACTTATGTATCTTCCCTGTTATTCCCCTGCCTAATCACTATGGTTGACCAGATACCGAATTTTTAAAGCTATCGCAACGGATATGTTTGTTTGCTAATATTTGAATCCCTTGGGTTTTCAGGAGAGGATAATAGATGATTTAGGTAATGAAATGGACAGCACGACAAACCGATTAGATTTTGTTCAGGTGATTCCCTCAATGCGGTCGCGTAGATGTAAAGCAAATCCGATCCATGATTTGAAAGTAACATTTGCCTTACTTGAGCTTGTCTTGTATTAGTTTAATGAAAATTTCCTCATTTTTTACCTCGCAGAAAAAGGTAGCTATGGTTATGAAGAAGGCCGGTGCTAAGGGACAGTGTATGATGATATTGTCTTTGCTAGTTTTGTTCATTATTCTATTCATTCTGGTATTCTTCACTTGAGACTGAGGAGAAAGATGTTGCGGAAGACGATTATCGAATAAAGCAAAATCACAACTGATAATTTGAGAAAATAAAAATGAAGATAAAAGAGACACGAAATTTACGTGAAAAACCACTAAATAATATAGGGTAAAAACCACGGGCAACGATAGAAGATTTTCACTATGAGAAAATAGGAATTACAACTTCTATCAATCTACCAAGGAGAAAACAATGATAATTCTCTCTTGATAAAAAGGAGAAAACAACTCTCAAGAAACTCTCTAAATTCTCTTTAGTATTAGAATAAAGCTAGAATGCTTTTGGATGATTTTGAAGCTAAATGAGTTAGGGTATTTATAGTAGAAGCTTCAAGGACTAATCTTGAAAATATCCTAAATTACAATGACTAAATATGAGATTTTGCCATATCACTTTTCAACCATTATTAGTGCCAACTATGAATCATTATTGTTGCCAACTTACAATGCATTATGAACCATTATTATGCATTATACAACTATTATTATTAGTTGTATGACAACTAATAATTTTGCATGACAACTAATAATCTACCGCTTGAAGATTTGATTAGAATAATCATATCTTCACACCATTCTTTCTACCTTATACCTTCATATTGCTTACGTTTCTGACAGGACATAAGAGGATCAACACCAGGTAAATTTATCAGCGTTGATCGCCTTCGTCATGAAATCTGCTATGTTGTCTTTGGTATGGATCTTCTGCATATCTACCGTCCCTTCTTCCACCTTTTCACGAATGAAATGGTATTGAACTCGTATATGCTTTGTCCTTGAATGAAATGCTGGATTCCTTGCTAGATGCAAGACGCTTTGACTGTCACAAAACAGAGAGGCATATTCTTGATTGTGCCCAAACTCCTCCAATAGCATCTTCAACCAAATTGTTTCTTTATTGGCTTGTGTAGCTGCTACATATTCTGCTTCTGTTGTGGATGTAGCCACAACTGACTGTAATTTTAAAACATAGCTTACAGCTCCACCAGCAACTTTAAACACATATCCTGTAGTAGATTTGCTTTTATCCAAATCCCCTACATAGTCAGAATCAACATACCCATTGATAAGTAAATTTGATCCTTTGTAATATAATGCAATATTTGAGGTCCCTTTGATGTATCTCAGGATCCTCTTTACTTTATTCCAATGCTATTTGCCTGGATTCACCATGTACCGACTAATCACTCTCACTGCTTGTGCAATGTCTGGTCTTGTGCATATCATAGCGAACATTAAACTTTTTCATTGCTGATGCATACGGTACTCGAGACATCTTCATCCTCTCTTCTTCACTGCTAGGACTCATACTGGCGGATAATTTGAAGTTAATATGAAGGGTAGAAATTGGCTTACAATCTTGCATGTTGAATCGTGACAAGATCTTCTTTAAGTAATTCTTTTGTGAAAGCCAAATCTTCCTATTACTTCTGTCTCGGTGAATTTGCATCCCTAGAATCTTGTTTGCTGATCCCAAGTCCTTCATTTCAAATTCCCTAGCCAGTTGTGCCTTCAATTCTTTAATATGATCTTTGTTGGGTCCTGCAACCAACATGTCATCCACATACAACAGTAATATAACAAAATCGTTATCACCAGACCTCTTGAATTAAGCACAAGGGTTTGTATTAAGTCTGTTGTATCCAAGGCACATAATGAAGGAATCAAATCTCTTATACCAATACTTCGGCGCCTGCTTTAGACCGTACAGAGATTTGTTCAACTTGCAAACCAAGTTCTTCTTTTCTTTTTCTTCAAAACCTTCAGGCTGGAGCATGTAAATCTCTTCTTCAAGATTTCCATGAAGAAAAGCTGTTTTAACATCTAACTGCTCTAGATGTAAGTTCAATGTAGCACACATTGCCAAAACTACTTGAACTGTTGTTAGTCGAACCACAGGAGAAAATATTTCATTGAAATCAATACCTTCTTTTTGAGCATATTCTTTGACCACCAGTCTTACACGATACCTCTCAACTTGATCGTCACCATTTCGCTTGATTTTGAAGACCCATTTGTTACCAATTGGCTTCCTTCCTTGTGGTAGTGGCACAAGGTCCCATGTATTATTTTTATGAAGGGCTTCAATTTCTTCTTGCATCGCCATCATCCACAGTGAAGCATCTGAGTTGTTTATTGCCTCTGGTATGTTGATGGCTTACCGTCCCCTATTAAAAGGCAGTATGCAATATTACCTTCTATAACATAATCTGAGTGCCAATTGGGACGTCTTCTCACACGATCTGATTGACGAGTTATTGGAACTTCAGAACTCTCTGGTTCTTGTTCATCATGTGTTGGTTATGCTTCAGAAGAATCTCCTTGTTCAAACTCCTTTTCCACATGTATCTGTGTAATCTCTGACTTTTCAGTGATACTATCGTCTTCTTTTCTTTGTACCTTATCTTCTACAATGATAACATCCCTGGTAATGATCACTTTGCGGGCAGTGGGATCCCACAAACGATACCCCTTTACTCCATTAGCATACCCCAAGAATTTACATTTCTTGGATTTTGGATCCAACTTTGAAATTTCTTGGGCGTTGTACATCACGTACACAATACTTCCAAATACATGGAGGTTTGAATAATCAGTCGGTTTACCAGTCCACATCTCCATTGGTGTATTCAGCTCTATTGCAGTTGATGGAGCTCGATTCACCAAATAACAGGCGGTATTGACTGCTTCTGCCCAGAATGATTTTTTTAGGCCTGCATCCCTCAACATTGCTCTTGTTCTTTCTAACAAGGTTCTGTTCATCCGCTCTGCCATTCCATTTTGTTTGCCACTGTGAACTATCTTTTGATGCTTTCTTTCCTGCAA